AGGACCATCCTCAAAAATTGAGGATGGATAGTAGAGTTCTGCACCACTATTACAGATAAAAGCATCAAAATCCAGAGGGTTCAACCTTGCGGAAACCATACAGGAGTGTGTCTCAGATATTGTCAAGGCAGTTGACAGTATGAACCCAATAGACCCAGCAGAACCATCTCTGGCAATGTCAAACACTGTCTTTATCATCTCTGGAAAATCTGAGATCATGTCACAATCAACTGCAATAACGAAAATATACTTCCTCCTCCTCAGTATTGAAATTTTGCTTTCTCCTTTTTCTATCTGCCCAGCCTTCTGTGACAACATTGAAACAGAACTCTCTCGCCTGGCTTTGCGTTCAACAGCATTTTCCTCAGTACCTAAAGCAGTTTCAAGATTCGCAGCTCTTTCATTCTTCTCACCATCCAATGAAAGCTTCAAATTCAAAGAGATGTCCTGTATGTCTCTCAAGGAATTGCCAGGGGAATCTGGTTCCAACATTTCTAGTTCCTGATCATTTCTTTGCCACTGAGGCTGTCTTTGCTTGCAAGTTGCTATCCGTGACAAGTATGTCTTGCAATGCTCTGGCCATGAAAACAGGTGAATGTTTTTCAGTCCATTTTGCCTGCATCTTGCCCAGAGTTGCTTATCCGAAACAAGTTTCAGAAGAGCATCAGCAATGGACTGCTGGTCATGTGGATCAACTAGTAGACCATTGTCAAGAACCTGTGAGTGAGTATATTGTCAAAGTTTACACATCACATCTGATCAAATAGACAGACAAGAAAATCTTCTGAAGGAATTAGAAGCTCCTATGATAGAGATACCCGGTGAATATCAACAGGACCACCATTTTTTGTAGCAACAATGGGCAAACCATGAGCAGCTGCCTATCCCATAAAAAAAATATGGTCAATACAATGCAAAATAGCATCCTAAACCATCAAATTCATGTGAATAGTAAATGAGATAAGCACCTCAATTAAAGTAAGTCCAAATGGCTCAATAAATGCTGGATTAATGAACACACCCTGGAAAGAAAAAAACAAGAGTTTATGAGGAGCGAATTTCTATCCCAATAGTCTGAAACAAACATATATTTGCTTTCATTGGTTAAAGACAACAAATGAATTCAAACGAAAAAGAAGAAAATAGATTAGAAGAGAAGGTCCCCTGTTAAACAAAGTAAATTCTTTTAACATTAGAATATTTTAAAATGCCATCCCATAGCTCATAAGGCATCAAGTTGCTACCTAACCTAGCTCCAGCACCCAAGACACTTGCCCATTCCTAGTTTCTAATCACAAAAGCACTAACTCCACCCTGACTTGCGCTTAATAAGAGTTCCAACTCCCCTTAACAAAATTAATTTCAAGAGACAAGATAACCAAAATTAAAAAATTAATGTAAACCGCAAGAAACCACGACAAAGACTGATCTCTTGGGGAAAATGCTCAAATTAAAGTTTTCTTAGACTAAAATAAAGCTATAACTTGCACTTGCCAATGACCATAACTTGGAAAGCCAGCCTATAAGAAGTACCTTTGTCTTTGCTGCCAGGCGATAAATGTCAGGAACATCTGATTGCTTGTGATGTTTAGGATATGCCACATGACCATACAAATCATACTTATCAATCAACTTCAGAATTGAGAGAAGCACTGAAGCATTTGTGCCGGGCATTTCATCAATATTAGCACGGTTTCCCATTATCAGTGTCTGCAAAAAGAAGAAATAAGTATAATCTAAATCAAGGAAGACCACAAACTCAGATGGACAAGAAATTTGAGTATCATCACAATTTATTAGCACAAGACATTACATACCAGGTTAGCAAGTTCCCGTAGTGGGCGGCATTCTCCAAATGCTTTGACTAAAGTTGTGATATTTTTTTTAGGGTCTGGCCGGGCAAGTGCAAGTATCATAGGTTTACGTGGATTTGAAAAGAAACGCATAATCTGCCAGTCCATATTTTCTCAGATCAATTTCTCATAGTTAGATCTCTATTTCACTGAAACTTTTTTCTCTTCAACATATTATATAAGGAGACCAGGAATAAATTATCAAGAGAATAGAGCATTATACCTCAGACCAAATAGGTGGGTCAGGAGAAGCGGGATTATCCTCATCTCTTTCCACTTCTCCATCCATATCTGCATCATGTGGTACAATATGATGAAATTCCATTCCAGGAGGAATTACCTATACATCGTTTAACCATTGAAAGTAAGTGAAAATGTACATTACAACCATAGCGCGTTAAAACTTTTAATAAATCAGAAGGAACCTCATAGATCTGAAAAAGAACTCTAAAATGATCTTGGTACTTACAACCATGCGTGGCATAAACCTGCCATAACAGTTCACACCTCGTTTGATCCTAGCTCTCAGTTTCCGCTCCAGAACTGGATCAAAGCCATCATAAAGGCGCCATTGCTCTTCTATTTCCTGTCTGGTGCTAGTTATGACAATTTCAGAGGCATCAAGAGATAATTCCTCAGCCTCTATCCGCCTCAGAATCTTGTAAGTTGCATTAATTTCTTCTGTTGATTGGCGCCCTTGTTTCAAAAGTTGTTCAAGCTTATCACGTCCAAGTGAGTGGCCGGTAAAGACCATTGGCACATTAAGAGCTCCAGATAAAAGAGCAGCAGAGTCCCCTGCATCTGCATAATGACCATGAACTGCAACAGGCCACACTGGTTGTCCTCCACCAATTTGCTCACCCAGAACTTTGGACATCTGTGCAATGTGCCCAAGTGCCCCATCAACAAATTCAGGAATGTACGGCCAAAGGAGTTCTTTCCTTATATATTTGTCTTTTGGACCAAATGGTATACGAATTATGTAAGCACCACTGCTCTCCCCAAGCTCTTGAATTGAATTCTCTATCTTTCCTGGATTCAGCATCTCTGTTGGTTGACTATAACTCCAATCTATATCTGGCGCGGAGATTTGTCTGGTCAGCAAATCAACCCTATAAACTCCCGGCATTGACCCTAAGGCCCTTGCAAGTTCTACCACGTACTTTACCTGTTTGCAACATCTCAATTTCTTCGTAAGCAATTCATGATTGTCGGATTAAGAGATCCAGCACATTGCACTATCAAGAAAGAATCTAAGAAATGAAACAAAAGTTACTTGACCACCAGTATCAGAATCACGACCAAGCTCCATATTCCCACCCCGTATCAGGCCATGAAGGCTGCTTGTTCAAAAAAGAACAAAGAATGCTTGTTAAATATGTCAAGAATTGAAGAGATAACGTAAGCTCTGTAAACAAAATGAGAACCAAAATGATGTCATAATTAGTTATAAATTAAAAAACAAATAGAATATAGAAAAAGGAAACTCCTTGTTTAAATACACTTCCACTAGCAGCATTGAGCATCAACTACAGCACTAAAGCGTACATACCTTACCAACACAATGTAAAGCTTCTTTTCCTTAAGTTGAGCAGCCCAGTTCTCCATCACATCAACAGAACTGATTCTAGGCATTTTTCCCCTAACTCCATCACCATGAGATGATACATCACCAACCACGTCACCTTTCTCTCCTTCTGATAAGTCTTCTGACATATCAGCAGTTGCCTCTCTGCGGCCTCTTTCACGTTCCAGTCGACGTTTAGTTGTTTGCCGAGCATACTCTCCTTCAAGCTAAATAACACGAAAAGATTTTGATTTCCTAACAAGCAAGCAACTTACTTGAAACTTGATACACTTTAAGTTATCATTGAGCTATTAGATACACAATTTATGAGGGATATTTTTGCTTGTAATCTATGGTCAATTATATCTATAATAGGACGACCGAAAATTGCCGCACGGCATTTTCTCATTTTCTTTGAAATAATTTTTAAATATAAAGATAAAATTAATGTAATAATATATATAATACTATCTACTTAATTTTTAAATATAAGAATAAAATTTAAGTTTTAGTTGACTATAAACTATACAATAAATCATTTTTAAAGATAAAAATTTTTAACAGACTACTACTAATATCCTAATTCAGGTTACCCACAAATTTTTAGTTAAAGTGATATATTTATAATATGTATCTATTTAAAATCTTAAATATAAAAATAATATTTAATTTTTAGTTGACTAAAATATATAATAATTACTTTTAATTGATTAGACATTCTGTAATTATGCACTATATATAAATTTTTGATCGCCTATTTGTTTTTCACACTTTATTTTTCATAGAGATATTTCATAAAAAATATGTTACAATAATTATTTTATATTTTATTAGAAATCTTTTTATTTTTATAAAATTTTTGTTTATGTAAAATAATATATAATTATAAAAATCTTTTAAAATTATATCGTAATTCATAATACAAACTGAAAATCTGATTAAATTGTATAAAGGTTCACTGCCCGAGTACTGGAATCAAATAGAGTTTGCAGAACAAACAAAAACAACAAGAACGGAATCATTTTCTTTCTGTGGTTCAGTAAGGGAAAATTTCAATTAAATCTGCAGATTCTTAGTTTAGAAACCAAAACTGAAGATAACATCAATAAAACACATAAAAAATAGAAGCACGTCTGATCACTGGAAAATGATTACCAGTCAACTAAGTAATGGAAGGTAAATTATCTGCAAGCAGCATTGACGAATAAGAGATGCATGCAACAAACCTTATCCTGCTTAAAACAATTTAATCAAGTTGACAAGACAGAAAAATCCTCTGATCCGATTCCAACTTCAAATCAGCAACCGCCATAACCAACACTTATATTCCACCTTGATCGTGTATACATAATATACTCACACAAAATATATATACTTCGCATGTCAATCATTTAAAAACTTTTAATTCTTCTTCAGAAAATAGTCTATATAAATTTACGAGGAAATAAATAAACCTGCTTCTTCTTGCGAGCCAAATTCCAAATCCTCCAGCACATGTTCTCCAATCTAGTGTTCCTCTCCTGCGGACTCCTTGTTGCCGCAGCCTTGAATAACAAAATTAATCAGATTAAATTCACTGGTTGAACAACTTCTATTTAAATTGATTAAGAAACAAAGACTGACAAACAAAGCTCCAATTTTATTTTCATAAAGAGATAATATATATTTCTTTTTTCTCGGGAGAGGAAATTAAGAATTACAGAGCCATACTCGAACCCATGAGCGATGGAGATCGGTCTCATCAAAACCGGTGATGACCTCCTCGACGAAGTAGCGGGTTGGACTGAAACGGCCTCTCTCCCTTAGCAGCAACGATGACTTCGCGTCATCGATTCCCGGACCGACGTCCAGGATCGCTTCTAGGTAACTGTTCACCCAATCGTTTCCCGCCATTTCGGCGCAAACTCAACTCTGAGGTTCAGAGAATTCCAAGTGACGAAGAAGAAGAAGACGATAGAGAGAAATCAAAGTGAATAAAATAGTACTGGAGAGGAAAATGGAGTGTGAAGCGTGCAAAGGTAATGCATGTGAAAATGGTGGTGGTGGATCGGGCGGAGTTGTTGTATAACTGTCAGAGAGGGAGAGAGTTCTGGAAGAGAAGGTTATTATACCGCTTTTCTGGGAATGGGCCTCCCGAAGTGACTGACTATTGTATTTATATATACAATTTTAAAAAATATATAGCAAGTTTGGAGTGTGGTTTACTGTTGAATAAAAAAAGAATAATTAATTTAAGTATATTAAAAAATATATATATTAAATTTATTTGTTTTAAAATTTAAAAATTTACAATTAAAAATTAACTTAAATTTATACTTCACCTTTTAAAATTCATTGATTGGGGGAAATAAACAGTTTAAGAGCTAGTAAACATAAATAAATTAAAAAATATACAGGTAAATTTTTTATAGTAAAATTTATAATTTGAGTTGGAATTTTATTCTTATCATCATTTAATCAAATTATTATTATTTTTTTAATTTTAGTCCTTTTTAATCAATTTCTTTAATTTTAAAATAATTAAGAATTTAAATTATAATTAATAAATTATTTTTATTGAATTAGGTAATATTTAAACAAATAAAAGATAATTGGATGAGGTGACATTAAACTAAAAGGTGGGAATAAGCATCGATTGTATACATCTAGAACAAATTAAAGGCAAATTTCAATGTTAGATTTCAAATCCCAAAAAAAAAAAATATTAAAAAAATAAAAACAAGATTAAAAGGAATATTGTTTGGGAAAAAGTATAGTCGAATTTTTTTAATTAAAAAAATAAAAAGTGCTCGAAATTTAAGCAGTAAATTTTTTACACGTGTCATGTAGATATCATGGTTAAGGGCCAAATTAGTTTGGAGAACAGGAAAGTAACGTGGCGTGTCTGGTTTTCTTTATTATTCATGAGAATATATGCACTCATTAAGCTTTTTTTTTTTACAAAAAAAAAAAAAAAAAAAAAAGGAAAAAGTGAAATTCTACTCCAAAATATTACTATTTCAAAATTTGGTGGGTGGGATTTTTAGTACTTGTTTGGGAAAGGGGAATAATAAAAATAAAATCTGGATGGGAATTGGGATTGGGCCTAACTTCCATAAAGCCTAAAGCAACTCAATTTGGACTGTTTGGCAATACATTGGAATTTGACCCACAAGCAAACTTAGGGCTCTAAAGTCCAAAAATTTCTATTTTTTTAATTATTCTTTAAGGAAAATTTATTACCAAAACCCATTTTATTATTATTACTAAACTAGAATAATTAAATGTTTATTTTCTAACTCATAATAATCAGTTGTATTATTCTATTTCCTCACTAATTAACATTTTCTCTATTTTCACCACATTACTATCAAAAAAAAAAAGGACTAATTAAACATCTCAAGCTATCAATTGATTTAGTTAAACTTTTCTACTTTTTTAAGCTGAAAATTAGATAAGACAACATTATATTTATATTTATAATCATATCATGTTCATAGTTATAATAAAATATTTTTTAAAAAATATATTTTATTTTCTAATATCCCCTTCAAGTAATTTGAAAAACAAAATTAAAAAAAAAAAATAACTTAAAAGACTCATGGGTCAATATAAAATACATAGTACTATGAACTATAAGTGGCAAGAATTGAAGCGTAGTCGTGAACAGGTTTTGGGTTTCCATGGTCATGAAAGTAAATTCCAGCTTGATTAAACAAAGATAACAAATGCAGAAACTCCTCGTGACACATCTTTGATGATCTCTTATCTTCATATCCACTTGTTTTCAGAACTTCAACAATTCTCTCCTTAAACAACTTCTCATCACTCTCCGATCCTTCATTAACAATCCTTTTGGATAATCTCATGAGCTCTGTCACCTTCTTCTTCTGCTTCAATATCGCTCCAAGCGACTTATTCTTCTTACCAAAACATGTTCGAGTAAATGCCAACCATTCGTCAAGATCTAAATTTGGAATTTTTGGTTTCGGTCGAATGATAACAATGGAAGAATCAACTTTTGGAGGAGGAACAAATTCTCTCTTACTTACATCCATGACCAACTCCACTTCAGCCACCAATTTAACATTAACAGCTAGTCTGTTGAACTCGGAATCACCAGGTTCCGCCATTAAGCGCCGAGAAAACTCCTTTTGAAGCAGCAGTGTTGCGCTTCGAAACAGATTGGTTCCAAAAACTAATTTTGCCACCAGAGGTGAAGATATGCCGTAAGGAATGTTTGCAATAACGAGATCAAATGGAGGAAACTCGGTTTTCAGTGCATCTTTACATATGACCTGCAAAAGCCATTTAAAAGAAACTAATAAAACTCGTTTCAAAACCAGAAAGAACCTTCTCTTAAGTATTTTATCAAACAGTTATTGAACATAAACTCACAGTTAGCTTATTCTCAAACCCATGTTCAGCTACACGTTTGTTGAGTACCTCCACCATTCTCTTGTCTACTTCGACGGCGATAACCTTCTCAGCTGCTTCGAGCAGCTTGAGGGTAAGATTTCCGGTGCCAGGTCCTATTTCTAAGACTACATCATTTGGTTTCACGTGAGATTTTCTAACAATTGAGTCAAGAATTCGGGTATTGGTGAGAAGATGTTGGCCCTTGCTCTTGTAAAGATAGAGACGATTTTGTTGGTTTTCTTCTGGTTTTTTATTTCTTCCACCGTCAAGGTCATCATCTTCCTCATCACTTCTGAAAGAATAATGATGGGTAGCCTTTGTATGCAGTTGCTTGAGAGACTTTCTAGTAAAAATAAATAGAATAATGTTAATTTGAATTTGCTAAACACTTTTTTCATCATATCGTATTTTTTGAAATTAGAAATCTATATATTCATCAATTAAAACATATATAGATATTAATTATGAAACAAAATATTTCGACTCGAACCTACAATCTTTTATAAAAAACGAAACATATCAATTATTCAGTTAAGTAATAGATAGTAGATGATATATTTTTTTAAGGTGAATGAACCTTAAAATATTTATTTTTATTGTTTGATAAATTTATGGCACCATTGGTATTAAAATGAGTATAAATAGAACTAATTTGAATTAAACATAAAATGCATTTCATCTAAACTAAGCTTAAAAATCCCTTGTTTCATTAAAGATTACCCAATTCAACTGCCACACCTACAAATTCCGAGTATTAATTTCAAACAGTAGCACATATCCATAAATCCTAGGGGTCATATACTCTAATGTCAGCATATACAAAAACTGAGTCATAACAATCAGGTCAAAAGTAATTAAATGAAAAACAACAAATCCTAATTTAACATGAAATAAGAAAAACCTGGAGGTCTCAAGCTGGCTCGATAAAGTTTATCGACAAGTCTCCTCTTCAAATATTGGATGTTAATTAAGCTATGAAAATAGCTTGAAATTGGGAGCCCTAGAGATTGTCTTTGAACTAACCTGCCAAAGAGGGATCTAGAATCAGGTCTTGAAGTCATAGACAAAGCTGAAGATGGCGCCTGCACCATTGAGCAGGTGGTGGCAGAGGAAATTTGAAAAATTAGGTGTCTTGAGGGAGGTTGGATGATGTTTCTCATGGCAGTGAAACACATTCTACATAAAATGAATTGCTCCCAGTTTCAAGTGACAGTAAATTGAACGCCTGGTGCTTCGCTGCAACTGCAAAATTGAGGAAAAAAGAAACTTTTAGTAAAAGTGTGGTCACTAGAATTAGATAATTTTATTTATTTTTATATATTGAAAAATGCATTTTGGTTTCAACTTTAGGGTTTTCTTAGAAAAAGAAACCAAATTTTATAAATTGAATAGAAGTACAACCATCCTATTGAAGAAGAGAGTCAAGGAAATCAGGAGCCTCGTTAACACAAATAAAATCATGAGGCACCAAGCTTCCTAGCCAGGGTATTAACCATGTAACTTAACACAAATAAAATCATGAGGTACCAGTCTTCCTAGTCAAGGTATTAACCACATAATTGCAAACTACAGAAACCCAAAGAAAAAAAGAAAAAAGGATGGCAAATTCTTGTATCAAAGACTAAACTCTGAATAAGAAAACAAACCAAATTTAAAAATTAGTTGAGAGTCACCTCCAAATTATAGACCAAGATTGCTTAAACCCCATAAACACACCATTTTTCTGTTTAGATGACAGATAAAAATGCAAAGAATATGGTCAGAGTTCTACTGGTTTTTAAAAAGTCTCACTTTAAGGAATGCGACTTTTCATTTTGTAAACCAACATGCCAATATATTACACCTGAGTATATATTGTGCCATGTTTGAACTTTAGAAAGTATTTCAAGGTATATGACCTTTTGTTATAAGGATCTTTAAGAGTGTGCAGATTACACTTATGGACAATTGGTCAAGATGATAGTAATAAATTACAAAAACAATTAAAATGAATTTCTAAAAGATGGACTTGAGATGAGCATGCATTTTACAAAAAATCTGTCATAAAAATTCAACAGCCATCATAAAAAAACTGAAACCACAGCATGATAGAAAGATAGAAGCGAAGAAACACATACTGGCATTTCAACAAACATTTGGCGCGCCTCTATTTCCTATGACCAAAAAATACAAATTTCAGTCTTTTCACAACAACAGTTCAGCCAACTGCCCTTTCAAGAGATCAACGTCATAGTACAGTCCATTTCAAGGAGGAATCATAAAAGAAAATTAACAATGGCAGGTCAAAAGAATGCAAGACAACAAGATTGAACAAAATAATACCCAATCAACAAGACGGCCAAATCGTAAATCCATTCAGAAAAATACTCTTGAGGTCCTGCTTCATTTGAAATCGACATGAATATTACACCAAAAGTTTAAACGCAGAAAATGAAAGAAACGTGATCAGACACAGAACAGAAGGGAAAAGAAGAGAGTCTTACCGTGCGATGAAGGCTGCGAGTCGGTGATGATGAGCTATAGTTTAGATGATGACTGCTTGAAAATGAAGGAAAGCAGAGAGGGATTCTTGCGCGACAGAGATGGTGTGTGAATCGGCTGTTCGGTGTCGCGCTGAAGAAAAGATAGAGATGGGTGATATTTGTGCTTCCGTAATATATAGGGGTAAGAGATTGGGTTCTGCAAGTAGAAAGGAACTATAGAAGGAGAAGAGCAAGTTTAGGGAATTTTGCTAGGTAGCTTGCAGAGGATCAATGGAGAAGATGACGATAGTCACTGCTCCTGGTTTCTGTGTTAAGCGAAGAAAAAGAAAAAATTAAATTTCAGTGTTAGGCGGTGATGACAAGGAGGGAAGAGTTTTTTTTTTTTTTTTGAAGTAATCTAGTGCGGTAGGGTGTACATAGAATATGCGAGTATTATTCGGTGTGGTAAGGTGCAGGGATTAAGGGTATTGCATATACAGGTATGGGTTTGGGTTACTACTAAATTTTTGAATTGGGCTTCAAATGGATATTTGAAATCCGCCTCTCTCCCTCTCTCTCTCTCTCTCGTCTTTGGAAACAAAAAATCAATTTTTAAAAAGAATTCCAGACCAAACGAAGGTAACTATAGTTTAAAATTTTGAAAATTAGTAAAATTTTTATTATATTAATATTAATTACAAAATTTGTAATAATATTAGATTTTCTTAATTAATATAAATTAACAAAAAAGTCTCACACCTACTAAATATTATATGTCATTTTGGGATTAATCCTATTACATAATTTTATAAAAATTAAATTATAATGTGACAGGTTAGTTAAACAATCAAATATGCAGGTTAATTAAGTATTCTAATAATTAATTTTTTAAATTTTTTATTAAAAAGTAGAAAAATAATGAAATTCATCAACTGATTAAAAAGTTTATTATCTGATATCTTATTCGAAAGTACTAAATAATATAGTTTATGATAAAAATAACAAATAATTCTCATAGAAAATTATCGTCCAATTTTAATGTTTTTTAAATGACGATTATATAAATATCAAAATAGGATTATTGCAGTAGACATCAAACATGTTAGTCCATAACTATTATGTTATTCTTAATTATTTTTTAGTTTTTTTGCTAGTTTTATTCCTTCTTTTTTTTACTTTTATTCTTTTAAAATACGAAAAATTTTAGTATATGAAATTTTAATCACATTAAAAAAAATATATGACAGTATATATGAAAAATAAATAATATATTTTTATTAATTTATTTAAAAATATATTGGCTATAATCAAGATTTATTCATAATCTAACTAATTGAATGGAATATACATATATAAATCTATCATTCTTCTCATACCTATTTTATTTAAATGATAAAATAGTAGGCCTTTCTTAAGTTTATGAATTACTATATATTTATACTGTTCATCAAACTTGAAGAAACAAAAAAGATTATGATCAAATTTTCTTACCCACAATAATATAAATTAGAAAACCAAATTCATTATAACATATATGTATCTATACTGAATATATAAAACATATATGCTTATTGAAAACCAAAATGTTCTTGAGTTTTACAATTTATACAAGCCTTTGAATGTAAAACCATTCTATTTTTTTCTTTCAAAATATACATTGAGAAAGACACTCACACACAAATAAATATATATATAGAGAGAGAGAGAGAGAGAGAAAATAGTTATATAATCTAGCGTCTTGTTTTTTATATAAAGGTTGTGTTTTAAATGAACATGATGGGTTGAGTAAAATTGTGGATTTATTTTATTTTTGAAAAGAAAGAAAACAATCTTGTAATAATCTATTGGTTGCATGTATTTGATAAATCTTCTTTTTAAAAATAATTATTGATTATTTATTACAGTTTTACGGAAAAAAAAAAAAAAAGTCGGTTTTGATACGAATAAGGAAAACAACGCAATGAAGCTCCAATTGCACGTAGTAATTAATTGTCTACTAAATGTATATAATTGGTTGCATGATCTTGTGATAGAGAGAGATATTATGACTTTAATAATTATGATTAATATTCTCTCATAAAGATAAAATCAAATAAAATGCGGACTCTAATAATCATATTTTACATATTACAAATCAAATAAAATAATTAAGTATTAGAGTTTAAAAAAATTCACTATGTAATTACACTTTATATATATATATATATATTATTATTATAAAATCTCGAACATGTAAAATTTATGTAATTAAAATTATTTTGTCGACAATAGAGTTTTTAGAGTGTCAAATTTATAGAAAAAAAATTAAAATATGAAGAAAAACCAACATTAATATTGAAGGTGATCACGTATTTTCTTATAAATAAAATTTATTTTATAAATTAATAAATAAATATCTAAAGTGATACATTAGAGTAAATTTAAAAAAACAAATATATTTATGTGATTTTTGTATTTTTTTTAAAAAAAAAAATAAATAAAAATAAAAATAAAAATGGTGGTAGGTGTAGGAGATCAAGACAAATAATAAAGTCAGATTTGGAAGGTGTTCTTCGTTGTAGTAGATGGTTAAGAGATAATATTTGTGAGTGTGTTTGAGATAGGGAGGCAGATATGGTTGCCATGTATG